GATACGATACGATACGATACAATACGGTGCATTACCCTATCAGTTTTTCTATGTACAGTAATAATAATTATGGATGACCAGGGTATATTAGTAATCATGAATAACTATGGTAGATTGACTATGGTAACAACTTTAAATAAACATCCAGTCGATCATGTATTTGAGTATAATAGTATATATATATATATATTACCTCTATCAACAAACATTCGCTGCAAAAGCAGACGTCAAGCTTATAGATTGCGGGCAATAAATAGGTCGGCAATAACTATAAGTCGGCACATACAATATTACTCATTTATTCCAGAGGAAACATCGTTTGTAACACAGGAAGGTGGATCTCTGCACCATATCTGCTACGATCTACTCAGCGGCAGAGTGATTAGCCAGTACTCTAAAAGGTAGGTAGATGTGCGCACATCTCTGTCATTATAATACATGAAAGGGGCCGAACTCATTCAGTAATGATTTAATATTTATCCAGCCCAGGTTCATAAATAATCTTACATGCGTAATCCTGATTGATGCAGCTCTTCTCAGTGAACGTTTGTTGTCTGATGAAAATTGTTTTCCCGTGGATCAGAAAAAGCTCAAATAGGCGGCTGCTCGGGGTGGTAACCGTTCACGAACGAATAATGGTCGAATTAGGTAGTCAAAGATGTTCGTGCGAGTGAGATTTTCTCGCAAGATGTGACGTGAGCAGCGTCATCGAGTACATTACCGGAGCTCGGGATACCGCGCGAGCAAAATTTTCTGCGTCAGCTTAGCAACGTTGCCTATTCACGTGAGAGTCGCCTCATTCTAAATGAGTTTATTTGTTCATTATTCCGTCGTAACGTGTCATAATCAACCTCGTGATTGCATTGTTGCCATGGCAACAAAAGCCTGCCATGCCTTATTAGCTTCGCAGGAAAAACGGCAGGTTTGCCTAGATCCCGTCCTTGGTGATTAATGATGGCTTAATCAGTGAAATCATTTATTGCGAGAACCTGTATGTATGCACGAGCACTGGCGGTTTCGTAAGGGACATGAATATGTCAAATACATACACATACAACATAGACATGGACGTGCCAATTAATGTATGTGCATGATTATTGTACTGTGCATATATTTATTATGCCATATTTGGATACCCGTCCACAATGTTTTTATGGAAACATACTGCGTCAACATATAGGCCTACCTAGGCACATGCAGGGCCCCAATGTTTTGCGAAGATTAAAATACGAGTGAACCTTTTGTTGAATGTTCGTTGTCAACTCATTTTTCTTTATTTTTTTTGCTGTATGTAGGAACTTTGCAAACAAATGATCGTTGAATGCACGCAGTCGAGATATTCTGATGTAAGAGCTGGAAAATTAATCTGTTAACATAATTTAAATTCTGCTCTCCTGTAATTGTTTATGAATTGACTTCTTGTTACACTTTCTTGTTGTCTAAACTACTTGCTAGGCTATTACTATTATGTAGCTAAGCTAGACTTAGCATTACTTAGCTTAGCTCAGCTCTCGACTAAATGCAACAATAGATTGAACGGATGACTGTTGTCTTATTACGTTTTAATGACATGGTAAGATGCAAGAAAGCGACGCAATATTTTCGCTTACAGATTTCACGTTGAAGTCCTACAAATTTCATGTAAACGCAACGTGGTGCTAGTGTTATGCAGCCAACCAGGCCCTAAATTTCAACATCTTAACAGAATATAGAGGATATCGCGATTTTCTTGTTTGATGTCGTTATATATATATATTTGCGTAATGTATTGAACTTGAGAGCTCAGATTGTTCAAAAAACAACAACAAACAGAAAAGCCAGTTTTGAAAAATACCCGCGTACCTGAAAGAACGCGAACATTTGTTAAAAATAATTATTGAATTATCGAATTACCCGAACGTGCGTATCTCACTAAAGAGAAATAAAACGCTCGCTGCTGACAGGAATAATTCGATAACTCCAGTACATACGATTCCTCAAAAACTTCTAGCGAGTAGAACTAGCCAAATCACCACGCACCATGCCGCTAATACAGCACGGAAACCCTCGACGCCAGCCGGCTGTTCGTTCGCCATTATTTAGATCACCTCGTCGTACAGTCACATCGACACGTGCGCGACGTAGAAAAAATATTGCGGACGCGGAACAAACAGCGGCTTGTCGGCGCGAGAGTGAAGCCATGCTGCACGCGGATGGCGTGGGACCGGGAGGGGATGCTGCTAGGCGGCGTGTGATGCTGCTATAGGCAGCGTGTGATGCTGCTAGGCGGCGTGTGATGCTGCTAGGCGGCGTGTGATGCTGCTAGGCGGCGTGTGATGCTGCTAGACGGCGTGTGATGCTGCTAGGCGGGGCCGGTGATGCGCTAGCGGCGTGTGATGCCTGCTAGCTAGGCGGGTGTGATGCTGTAGCTAGGGATGCGTGTGATACTGCATAGCGGCGTGTGATGCTGCTAGCTAGGCGCGTGTTGATGCTGCTACGCAGGCTGGTGGGATGCTGCTAGGCAGCGTGTTGATGCTGCCTAGCCTAGCAACGGCGACAAGAGCTTTTGCATGCATGCTAGGGACAGCGTTGGAACTGCTAGGCGAGATGTGATGCTGCCTAGCTAGGGCGCGTTAGGTGATGCCTGCTAGGCGGCGTGTGATGTGCCATATAGGCACGTCTGGCATGGCTGCTAAGGCGGCTTTGTGATTGCGCCTGGCCGGAGTTGATGCTGCTAGGCGGTCCGTGTGATGCTGCTAGCTAGGCGGGTGTGATGCTGCTAGCTAGGCTGGCGTGTGATACTGTAGCGGCTATCTGTGTGATGCTGTAGCTAGGCGGCGTGTAGATCTGTAGTAGCTTGCGATATGGTGATGCGCCTGGCAGCGTGTGATGCTTCTAGCTAGCAGGTTGATGCTGCTACGCAGCGTGTGATACTTGCTAGCGGGTGTGATGCTGCTAGCTAGGCGGCGTGATGATTGCCTGTAGCGGCGGTGTGGTGTGATGCTGCTAGGCGCGCGTGTGATGCTGCTAGCTAGGCGCGCGTGTGATACTGCTAGCGGACTGTGTGATGCTGCTTAGGCACGCGGCTGTGATTGCTGCTAGCGGCGTGTGATATGCTATGGCGCGCGTGTTGATGCTATGCTAGGCAGCGTTTTGATGCTGTAGGCGGCGTGTGATACTGCTAGGCGGGTGTGGATGCTGCTAGGCATCGTGTGAATGCTGCTAGGCGGTCGTGTGATGCGTGCTAGCTAGGGCATCGATGTGCATGCTGCTAGGCGGGTGTGATGCTCTTAGCTAGCGGCAAGCGTGGTGATGCTGCTAGGCGGCGTGTGATGCTGCTAGCTAGGCGGCGTGTGATGCTGCTAGGCGGCGTGTTATGCTGTAGGCGGTCCGTCCCGGTGTTGATACTGCTTAGCGCGCGTGACGTGTGATGCTGCTAGGCGCGCGTGTGATACTGCTATGCGGCGTGTGATGCTGCTAGCTAGGCTGCGGTCGTTGATGCTGCCTAGGCGGTGCCGTGTGATGCTGCTAGGCCGGCGCTGTGATTGCTGCTACCTAGCGGCGTGATGATGCTGCTAGGCAGCGTTGCTGATTGCTGCTAGCGGTGTAATGCTGCTAGGCGGCGGTGTGATGCTGCTATGGCGGGTCTGTCGCTTGTATGGCGGCGTTGTGATTACTGCCTATTGCAGCGTGCTGATGCTGCCTAGTAGGCATCGTGTGATGCTGCTAGGCGGCGTGTGATCTGCTAGGCGGTAACCGTGCTGATACTGGCTAGTTAAGGCATCGTTGTGATTGCTGTAGCTACGGCGGCGCTGTGATGCCCTTCTAGAATGGCGCCCGTGTGATGCTTGCTAGGCAGCGTTGTGATGTGCTAGGCGGTCAAGCTGTGATGCTGCTAGGCCGGCGTGTTGATGCTGCTTAGCGGATGTGTACGCCGTGTTGATGTGTAGCTAGGCATCGTCGCTGATGCTGCTAGGCGGGTGTTATGCTGCTAGCAGCGTTGTGATCTGCTAGCCGGCCGTGTGCATGCTGCTAGCTTAGGCGGCGTGTGATGCTGCTAGCTTGCGATGTGATGCTGCTAGGCAGCGTGTGATACTGCTAGGCGGCGTGTGATGCTGCTAGGCGGACTACCTCGACCCCGTGTGATCGCTGCTAGCGGCGTAGATTTAGTTGCTGCTAGGCGGCGCTCGTATGCTGCTAGGCGGCACGTGTGATGTGCTAGGCGGCGTCTCCGTGTGATGCTGCTAGCTAGGCGGCTTCGTGCCTGGGGCGTGTGATGCTGCTAGGCGCGCGTGTGATTGCTGCCCTAGCTTATGCATTCGTGTGATTGCTGCTAGGCGGCGATGTGATGCTGCTAGCTAGGCATCGTTGTTGACCTGCTGTCCTAGCGCGCGTTGCTTGATACTGCTAGGCGTGCGTGTGATACTGCTAGCTAGAGCATCGTGTGATGCTGCTAGCTAGGCGCGCGTGTGATTGCCTGTAGGCACGGCTGTGATGCCTGCTAGCTAGGCAGTTCGTGTGACTGCTACGCCGGCGTTGTGATCACTTGCTAGCGGCGTGTGTACTGCGAGCTAATGGCATCGTTGTGTGATGCTGTCAGCTAGGCAGATACGTCGTGATGACCTGCTAGGCGGCGTGTGATGCTGCTTAGGCGGCTCGTGTTGGCATGCTGTAGAGCGGCGTGTGATGCTGCTAGGCGGCCGGTGTGATGCGGCTAGGCGGCGTGTGCCTACTGCTGTCCAAGCGTGATGTGCTAGTAGGGCGCTGCGTGTGATGCTTGCTAGGCGGCGTGTGATGCTGCCTCCAGCTAGGACAGCTGTTGACTGCTGCTAGTCGGCTGTGTGAGGCTTGCTCACGGCGGCGTGGTGATATCGCTAGCGCGTAGTGATGCTGCTAGGCCGGCTTGATCGTGATGACTGCGAACTTCTAGGCGGCGTGTGATTGCTGCTTAGGCGGGCATCGTATGCTGCTAGGCGGCGTGTGATGCTGCTGAGGCGGCGTTGTGATGCTTGCTAAGGGCGGCGTGTGATGCTGCTAGGCGGCGTGCTGATACTGCTAGGCGGCGTGTGATAGCTGCTTAGGCGGGTGTGATGTTGCTAGGCGGCGTGTGATACTGCTAGGCGGCGTGTGATGCTTGCAGGCGCGGTTTGTGATGCTGCTAGGCGCGTGTGATGCTGCTGCTAGGCAGCGTGCTGATGCTGCCTAGGCGGAGTGTGATGCTGCTAGGCGGCGTTGTTGATACTGCTAGCTAGGCGGCGGTTGTTGATGCTGCTAGCGGCGTGTGATGCTTGCCTGCCTAAGGCAGCCGTGCTGATGCTGCTAGGCGGCGTGATGATGTGCTAGGCGGCGTGTGATACTGCTAGCTATGGCGGCGTGTGATGCTGCTAGGCGGCTCGTTGATGCTCCTGGCGGCGTTGTGATGCCTGGCCTAGGCCGGCCCTCCGTCGTGTTGATGCTGTAGGGCCGGCTGTTGATGCGCTGGCGGCGTGTGATACTGGCTAGGCGGCGTGTGATGCTGTAGGCGGGGTGTGATGCCGCTAGGCGGCCGTGTGATGGTACTGCTAGGCGGCGTGTGATGCTGCTAGGCGGCGTGTGATGCTGCTAGGCGGCGTGTGATGCTGCTAGCTAGGCAGCGTGTGATGCTGGCTAGCAGCGTGTGATGCTGCCTAGGCGGGATCGTGATTGCCTGCTAGGCGGATCTCACGTTGTGATGCTGCTAGGCGGCCGTGTGATTACTGCTAGGCGGCGTGTGATGCCTGCTAGGCGGCCGGGCTCCGTGTGATACTGTAGGCGGCTCTGCGTGTGATGCTGCTAGGCGCGCGGTGTGATGCTGCTAGGTCCGGCGTGTTGATACTTTGCTGGCGGCCGAGCCGTGTGATGACTGCTAGGCGGATCGGTGTGATACTGCTAGGCGGGCTGTTGATTGCTGGCTGAGCAGTGTGATACTGCTAGCGGCGGTGATTACTGCTTAGCTAGGCGTGGTGTGATGCTGCTAGGCGGCGGTGATGGCTGCTAGCTAGGCCGGCGTGTGATGCTGCTAGCAGCGTGTGATGCTGGCCTAGCGGATACGTGTGATACTGTAGGCGGCGCTGTGATGCTGCTGGCCAGGTGTGATATGCTAGGCGGGTGTGGTACTGTAGCTAGGCCGGCGTGTGATGCTGCTAAGGCGGCGTGTGTTGATGCTGCTAGCTAGGGCATTGGTGTGAGGCGCTAGGCGGCGTGTGATGCTGCTAGGCGGTCCGTGTGATACTGTAGGCGGGTGTGTGTGCTAGCTAGCGGCTATTCCCACTCGTCCCTTTGTGTGATGCTACTAGCGGCGCGCGCCTCTGTGTGATACTGCTTTAGGCTGACCCGATTGTGATGCTGCTAGGCGAGCGTGGTGATGCTGTAGGCGGGTGCAATGTGATTGCTGCTAGCAGCGTGTGATAATGCTAGCGCGCGCTGTGATGCTTGCTAGGCAGCTGCTGTTGGATACTGCTAGGCGGCGTGTGATGCTGCTAGAGCGAGCGTGGTGATGCTGCCTAGCTAGCAGCGTCAGTGAATGCTCCCTAGCGGCCCCGGTGTGATGCTGCTAGGCGGCGTGTGATGCTGTAGGCGCGTCTGTTGTGATGCTGCCTAGCGGCGTGTTGATGCTGCTAGGCAGCGTGTGATATCTAGTAGGCGGGCGTGCCGGTTCCTTCGGTGATGCTGTTTAGGGCCGGCGTTGTGATGCTGCTAGGCGGCGTGTGTGCTGTAGGGCGGCGTGGTGATGCTGCTAAAGGCGGCGTGTGATACTGCTTTAGCTAGGCGGCGGTGGCGTGTGAGCTTGCTAGTGCTTGTCTAGGCGGCGTGTGATGCTGTAGCGAGTGTGATGCTGCTAGGGCCTGGCCCGCGTGATGGCTGCCGTGTCGTGTTGGATGAATTCTGCGGCACAATGAAGATGGCGACAGGCATCCTACCGACAGCAGCTGCAATTACGGCCGATTGTTATCCGAGGGCGCCTACTAAAACGCTTTACGAACGTTCATCACACGCTGCGGCGAGCACGACCTTCGGCCGTCAAGCGTCAGCGCGGTGATCGTTGCGCTTCATTATTTTGCGTTGGTTGTCACGCGGCGTTCACGGGGCGTTGTTTACGGCCGGTGGCATCGTGACTTGCTCCGCAACGTAATTCAACGTCATTCAAGCGCGGTAATACGGATGATTGAATCGGTGGCGTGATGTGATTGTCATCCAGTGGTTTGTACACATCGCGCGTCAATTCATTTTACGTTGTTTATACTTTCATATCGTCCGATATTGTCATTGTCATGCTAATTGGGTATTGTCAGTGTCTCATGGCATTGTCATTGTCATTGGCTATTTTCAATTGGCAGTGTCATAGCCATTTGTCATTATCTACATTGCCAACGCCCAATATTGTCGTTCGTTTATGATTGTCGTTGGCCAAACGCATTGCTACGGTACATTTATTCTCGCACTGTTTTACCGTTGACGGCATGCTAAGTCTAATACCTCCTGCATTAACCACGCTTAGTAACGCAAACACGCATGAACAATGTGTAGCCAGTATCAGTATATATATATATATTAAAGTCTGGATGCTGAGTCTATGCTGTGCGTTAGAGGGCTCGAATGCATTTAAGTTGCAGAGGCGTAATAAATGTGTAGTCGGTTAGATAAATTAAAGGACAAGACATCACTTTTAGCTGTCTTTACTTGTCGAGTCACGCTTACGCATCATCAGACAGATTTAATCGAAGAATAAATCCAATAAGAAAGATTAATGAATAGATTAGTTCTCATTAAAGTCTGGTCTGCTATGATCGCTGTAAGCGTGAACCTCGAGTAACAGGCTAAAAGTGAATGTCTTGTTCTTTAATTATCTACATAATACAAATATATATATATATAATATAATATAATATTATATTATAATATATATATATATACATAAACGTTCTTGCCGATGCTCATGCATACCACCCGACCCGTTCTCAGTTTGGACTACGAGTACGATGGTGACATATCGTCGGACGATTTTCCGTTGGAGTATCCGGCCTATCGTGACTGTCGGTGGGTGGTTGACTTCTCCGCGGCTGGACTAGGCGTCACCAGCACACGTCTCATGAAGATAGTAAAGATCACCACCAGCTTTCCCACGGAGTTCAGCGGTTCGCGTCTCGAGATTAGAGGTGAGACCATCGAAATATAAAGAGACACCAGTATATTATTTCTACGCGTGAGACACGAGGCATTTGGTGGGTAATATCAGCGCAAGAGGGCGCCACTGAATATTAGCCGTGCCGCAAGCATACATGTGGATGTAGTTCTTATTCAGTCGTGGTTGCGAAAAGTATTATTTCCAATGTATAATATTAAAATTTTCAAACCATTGCTAGTGTTGCTTGTTTATTAGCAAGATCGGAATAAATCGCTGGGTTTCATATCATGTCATTACGTTAGAAAATGCAATTACGAGCGTTTGTTAGTTGAGTAAAATGATGAGTTGGGTCGAGTTCTGTAATCATCATCTACGAAGCACCCTTATCGGGTAGAAATTCTGAAATAATTTCTGTATTTATTATACTCACTTTTATGCTGAAAACAAATAAAAAACATTATTTACAGCAGCAGACATAGTTTCGTATGCATAGTTTCGTATGCATCAGCCAACCACGGTAAAAGCCCATCCATTCGCTCGCATTCTGAGGCATGAAACACCGAAATGACATTAAATGGGGTTTAAACCTTCCATTAGCTTCTTCCACGAATATGTGCCATTACTACCCTTCAGCTATTTGCATGTACAGCGAGAATCGTTTATGCGCCCTAGCACGCATTCTGTATAATTGCGGGTTGCGATCGAACCGATAGAGAGCAAAATGAAGGCAGGACTTCATAATCGTAACTCTATGCAAAATATCGATATGTAACCTAGTTTTAAGTGTTCTGAATCCGTAGATTTGCTAGGCGGAGCGAGGACTGGGTCGGCAGAAACGGTTGTGAAATAAATTAGTTAAGTGGACAAAAGCAAATGCAATCACTTATTCCTAAAGTGACTTAATTTAATCAAACTCATGTTATTATATAGTTATTTTATGATATAGTGGAATCTAAAATCTCAGTATTAGAGCCTGATAATAAAGTATTAGCCATTTCCAGACTAATGCCAGTAGATCTTTCGGTCCCAAAATTATTCAGCTGTAAATTGCAGCCTTGCCTTCGATTTAATCAAACATCTTGTGTATTAACGCATATGATTCGATCGATCGCACGTGAGACGATGAGCCTCTTTCCTTGAGACGGGTCCGTCTGATATGTGACACTTGATCTAGACTTATCTGAGGAAAAAACTTAACAGTTCATAACTAACAGCGATGGCTGATTGACTAATTAACGTGCTGCGTAATTGAATCTCTTTCGAATCCAGCTTGCCAGCAGCGTAAATAATTCGTGTTCTGGATCGTTTGATCGCCCCCCAAAAACACGCCTATCAGTGCGTTCTAATGCGATCACGTGTTTTCCGATTCCTAGATTACACGTGCCTGTACAGCAACAATTCCTGCCCGGGCGTCCTGCGCGCCGCCTGGATCACATCCGGATCCGCTTCGGACATCAACGCCGGACTCACGGACTCGGCGGTGATGTCGGTCCGGTTCGTGTCGTATCCGGTGGCTGGCCTGGCACATCCGGAGCCATGGGACGGCATACGCGGATTTAGTTTGCGCTGGAAGTTCGCCCACACGCGTACGTACTGTTGACTCACAACATGCACGACAGAAGAAATCCCTAATTACCGTATAATTAGCATTTCGCAAAATATTTCCTGATCTGGTTGTAATTAATGTCAATAATGAAATTATTCTATCGAACCATAACATAATACCGATAATAATAATAAATAATCGCAGGAGTAGGCTGATTAACAAAAAATTAGACTCCGGATAGTAATGATAATAACAACAATATTTGTTATTTAATTGTAATATTTATTATTACTACTACCACTGGTTGTAGTTAAAGTAATAATTAATTACAAGGGCATAATTTATTGTACGTTGTGGAGCTTTCACTTAACATTAGTTCGATTCTTGATAGTGAACACGGGTTTCACGCATACTGACGTAGGGTAAATGTACCGCATATTATTTTAAGTACTGTTATCAGGAGTAACATCTTCTGTTTATGATCTACTCCTGCTATTATTATTTTTAGTATTGCTATTCGTTCGATTCCTGATAGGGAACACGTGTTTTACGCCATGCTGACGTAGCGTATATATTCATTCGAATGTGTCATTAAACTAGAGTGCTATGAAATTTTATTAGCTAGCAATTAGTTAGTTTATTATTTGTGAGAGTTAGTTGTGTGTTATTAGAGTGAGCGCGCAGAGATGCTTCAACACTCCAGGAGCGTAGCTAACCTATTTTGCCTTGGGGGTGGCGAAGCCACGTGTGGATTGTGTTCTGGGAAGGCAACCGCCATTGACCATGTATAATGTATCTACATTTCTCTAGGGGATAACTTCCCTTTGCCTCCCCCCCCCAACGCTAGCCACGGCCCTGCATTTAATTTCTCGAGGGGGTAGCTTCCCCTTAGCCCCCCCCCCAATGCTAGCTATGGCCCTGTATTTATCGTGTTTGCTAGGCCCTTAAGCATCTGCGTCAGACCGTCGCGCACGATTACCCGCACTCGATGACTCATTCTCCGAATTTCACGTTAATTAAAATTTTTTTTTCCTTTCACCCTTTGTTCTATCGGCTGTTGTGTTGACACGCGCGTTAAATGTGCGCAGAGGTTGAATAATGACCGCGTCGTACGTTTTGCTCTTCGCATCACAGCGCAGTACATGAGCGACTACATCTTTCACTCTCCGATGATGCCTGTCTACGTCGCGGCGTTGGCCATTCTAGTCGTGTTTCCATTTGGATGCTTCATCTACTGTGTCGCCTGCCGTGGCGGCTGTGGAAAGTTCGTACATTTCTTCATTATAATGTTTTTTCAGTGTGTTATTTTGGTGTAATTTTTGTATTTCTTTAGTATTTTTTTCATAGTATTTGTATGCCTCTGTATAACGTAACTTTTTGGTAGTATTTTTCTTTTGTAAAAAAATCTGCGCTCGGTGTCCGTTTGTAAAATCTTGCCATGCATATAGGAAACACTGCTGTGACATCGTTATTCTTCTTGTTTTTATTGTAGTTATTATTATTATTATTATTATTATATAATATTAGTGAAGGTGATGGTGATGGTTAAATGAGAAGTTATTAATGCCACCAACATCTTCCGTGGCAACGCTCAATAAAGAATAACATGCGTATAACATGTTACAAACGATGCCGCTCGCTATACGTCGGGTGGCCGAACATGGGAACCAATGAGAATATTTTTCGATAGATCACAATAGTCACGTGAAAGTCATGCCGCTGTTCTTCCGTCTCTTTCGCCCCGCAGACCAAAGAAGAAGAATCAAACGAGAGATGATGAAGAGATCGTTAAGCCTCAGCAGCTGGACGACGCCGTTGGATCCGACTCCGAACTTGACAAATTGTAGAAGGATTTCACTCGACCAACCTTCTACGCCGCACGCCGCTTGCTGCTTCAGTAGGTCGCGGTCATCACGACAACCGGAGAGATGGCCGCTTAGAGAAAGACTACTGTCACGCCACCTATTGACGTTTGCTCTCGCGTGTGCGCAGCGCGTCGTAGCTGCGAAACAAAAATTCATCACGCGAGGTTCACGCAGCGAGCGACAGGAAAGCGACTAGATCAGGCTTTTGTGGCCTTAGAGAAGTAGTGAAGCAAGCATTTGGCGTGTCTTTGTCTGCCGCAAATATGGCTGAAACCCGCACTACATTTTCACTACCATTTATTTATATCGGCCACACCTAGTTGTCGCCTCTCTGATGCTATAAGCTGATTCACGAGTATAGGGGAAACCGTCTCTGACTATCGAAACAAAATGAAACGCTTTTTATATTGTCCTATATACACGGCAATTCCATTTCACCGTCTCTTTGTGGAATTCCCGCAGACTTAGCCATAAATTGACCCATCCGCCTGGAGTCATTGACAGGCAGAAACTAGGTAAATGCAGCTATAGAACCAAATGTTGTCGTGACAGAACGGTCTAAAAGACATTGCTCAGCAACGAAGTGCCGTGAAGCGACACTTTGGAGCGGGTACGAGTGAAAAACACGTGTTATCATGCCGGTGTGGCATTCCTGACCTAGAAACGATATCCACTGACGGCATAGGTATCTCGCTCAGACGGATAGGGTTAATTCGGTCTCTTAGCGACATTTATTTGCGACGCGACGCGTCTAAAGACAGCGTAATGGTTTACTGCTACACACAACTCGAGTTCCTTAAATGATCGACATTTAGAGAGAGAGAAAGAAAGAGATTCATCACTGCCGATCGTGTTCACTTCACTTCTTCACTAATAACCTCACTATCAACGTGAGCTCGTAGAATTGTGACCAATTGTTTAGCCGCCTCTGTTGTACACAGATTCATTCAATCATATCGGCGTGAGATCATATAACTGTGACCCTGTTGTTTAGATGCCTTTGTTTGTCATAGAATCTCTATGAAAGGAAACACGCATACATGGTCTGTAAAACTTCACACGTCGTAGGCTATTTCAATGTCTAACTGTGTCTTATATGTACTATAGTCGTCGTCATACACGTGAGGTGTTTTCTTACTATTTTACTTATTCGTACAGAATACTCTTTGCCGTGTGTCTGAGTGTGAGTTACGATAACCATAATTGTTTGCCGCATGTACGTGTTCTCGCCTTCCTAGCAGTTGAGATGATGTGTAGCCCAGGGAAGTTATGAAGTCGCATCCCATTTGCATTCATAGATATGTGGAAATGAGGTTTTTATTGACGGTTGCAGATTCGTTAAAGAAATATCCAAAATATCTAGGGGATAACGAACCTCTCTCAAATCTCTTCGTAAAAATTACATTGATTCGTCACCAGGTGGCACTAGCGGTATGAAACACGGTCCATTAACACGGTTAGATGTATTCACATATAAAGAAAAATCTTTATACTATTCCCGATGTCATAGTATGTGTTTTGGTATTTAGTGAACATGCGTGTGTGCGTGCTTGGTGCGTGCGTGTTCGGTATGCCTGTGTGTATTATGCATCTAAGGATATGATATATTGCCGTTGTTTAACACTGTTCTTAGTGTGCGTGTGTGCGCGTGCATGATATCAATTGACTGTCCATTCATACATTCTTACTGAATATTTATTACATGTATGTTCAACGGTGCTCTAGAATTCAGATTTAGGATATCACAGCGAACCGATGACGAGGCGGTTACCAAACTCTCGTTCGCGATTCTCCTGTAGCGCTCGTTTATCCTTTGTTGAATGTCATCCTGCAGTAACGACAATGTTACCATCGGAACTGCTTTCAGTGTACAGCTAGGGGTGTGGATATCGACAGGTTCGTTTGCTTAAGATATGCGTACTCTTGAATCATTATTGAACCAATAGGTACCTAGGGCATTTATTTACGTGTAGCGTGTTGTGGATTTATAGCGATGCAAACCGATTGTTGTCTGAGGCACAGCTGCCATTAAATATGTGTCGTGATGTCAGAAGCGTATCTAACTAATTTGGCCTGGGGGCAAAGCCACTTGCGTGGTTTGTTCTGGGAAGGTCACCGCTATTGATCATGTAATGTATCTACATTTTCTTTGGGGGGCACCTGCGCATGCCCCCTTGCCCCTCCCCCTGCTAGCTACAGCCCTGAAAGTAGAGTCAGAAAGTCGCATTTTTCCATTTCCGTTACGTCTCGTTTTGATGATGAAATGAAATTTACGGAGCTTTCGTTATTATATTTTATATTGATTATCGAGAAATCATTTTGAAAAGGTCAACGCACCGTACCTTACTTTGGTTCATTATCTTTTCAAGAAAACGGACGGAGTGTGTGAGCGTGTGTAAAAATACGATTTATTTTCTATGCATGTGTTTTGTAAATATTTTGCTAAACGTCAGAGAGGAGCCGTAACTGAGTAAATCTTGAGTTTCAGTGACCACGTGCGGTCAGAAATGCATTCGTGTCGGCCAGTGGCTTATAAAATGTGTTATCAAATATTTATACAGAATCTAAAGTATAGCTAGTGATGTTAAGAAATTTATGCAATTCCGTTTTCAATCTGGTGTCAACGGTCATGGCGTATGCTAATCTGGTACCAGCGGTCAATCCTTATATGGTACCGACGGTAAATCCTTATATGGTGCCGCCGAACGGTGAATATCCTTATATAGTACCGACAGTCAGTATCTCTATATTGTGCGGGCATTCAGAATCCTTGTCTGTTTGTTGCTTCACTCGGAGCCTGCAAATGTCTGGGAAACGTCAACGCATTGTGACGGGAATGAGTTTCCATGACTTTCTCTTGCATTTCAGAGACAATATTAAAAAATTAACATCCGGGGAGTCGATCGTTTGACTGTTTATTAGCTTAGATGCGAGATTGCATTTCCCAATGCGAATGCGCAAAGTTAGAAACTCGGATAGTTGACCGTATTTTGTCCTACAGTGGTTTTCGATAAGGCTAATAGACGATTCTTCGGAATTGCTTATCCGTTTGTTGATCTTCGTATTCGTTTGTGTGCACTTGTAAATTAAGATATTGCGTTGTTGGTGATGCATATTGTTGAAGCTGCGTGTCTGCTACGAGATGTTCAGATACTAAGGAGGTTATCCAACTGGTTTCTTTCCAACGTTAAGTCAACAGAAGAATGACTTAATTAACTGATGTAACTTTATTTATACGAAAATAGAAAACGGCACGGATGGTCGTTTAGCTTGCCTAAGTAAAGTTATACCTCTTATTTAAATCATCCCGTTGTTTCTACACACACACACACACACATACACACACACACACACACACACACACACACACACACACACACACACACACACACACACACACACGACACGACACGACACACACACACGACACACACACAACACACACACACACACAC